TTGCACTGATTTAGCTGAGGCCAGAGAGAGAAACTGCCATCAGTGCAATAGCTTCCGCCTGCAGTTCACTACTGAGATTTACATTTAGTACACTACAAATGTAATCAGATTTCTTTATTTATAGTTTTGTCCGTTGTATACGTGTATCCTGCTTCTCTCTGAGTGGGTTCTAAGGTTATTATGAGCAAAGACACGCATGTGTTTGTGTAAACGTGTTTGTATGTTTGGCCACCAGGTGGCTGACGTCTCAGTCTCACTTACAACAGACCTAACAGGAGTTCATCAATCACAGTTATTCCACATAGTGGCAGTAAAAATGCTGTGATGTGCATAAATAAATAATTTGATTGATTGCTGTGTGTGTTTTCAGTAGCAGGACCCCAAGAGCTGGTTAGTCCTTGTCTAGCTCCAGATTACTCTGGACAGTGGGAGCATGCTGAAGTACTCTACATTGTTAAAGGGCAGAAAGCAGGTATGAAATACACTCTCTGCCTGGGTTAGGTCTTGGTATGTTCAATTTGATTTACATTCAATTTTACTCCCCAGAATAGTATCATTATAATATGATATTTGATTTTATATTCACTTGTGTGTGTGCCCTCTTCTAGGGGAGCCCATCTATGAGACTTGCCTTACAAAAGTGGAAAAGATGATCTACAAACGTGTGAGAAAAATTGAGGGAGTGAAAGACATGGACTTCTATGCATTCTCCTATCACTACGACAGGGCTGTAGATCTGGGCCTCATTGGTATGAGATTAGCCTGATTGCTGTCATTTGATTTGAGTCAAACATTGTTTTTTAGATTTAAGAGTAACAAGCAATGAGTTGAACTGTAATTTCACTAATTCACTAATCACTTTCTGTGTCTCTGACTCAGATGAAAGCACAGGGGGGTCTGTCAGAGTCAGTGATTACATTGAAGGTGCTAAAAAAGGTAAGTGTGTTTTTGTAACAGAATGTAGGTGTCTGATTTTATGATGTCAGTATCTGACAAATGTAATGTAATAATGCAAATAAAATGTAATGCTTTTATTAAGCATGGATGCCAAAATTGATCAAGAGTGACAAAAAACCTTTACATTGTTACAAAAAATTTATTTTAAATAAACGCCGTTCTTTCTACCTTTTATTCAAGGAATTCTGAAAAAAAAAATTTAATCAGGTTTCCACAAAAATATTAATAAGCACACCTGTTTTCAACATTAATAATGATCAGTGTTTTAGAATGTTATTACTTTGATTTCTGAAGTATCATATGACACTGAAAACCGGAGTAATGGCTGCTGAAAATTAAGCTTGGCCATCATAGGAATATATTAAAATAAAAAACATATTTTAAATTATAATAATATTTCTCAATATTACTGTTTGCTGTATTTTTATTAAATAAATGCAGCATTGGTGAGCATGAGAGATTTCTTAAAAAAATAAAAAAAACACACACAAAAAAATAACCGTAGGTAAGTAGGTAGTGTAGAATTTCCAGTACTGCAAAATAAATAACATGTCATGGTGTCATTATTACTATAATATTAGATTATTAGACATACTCAGAACTTATAAAATGTAAATGTGTACCTTGAATGTGGTCGCTTTGGATAAAAGCATCTGCCGAATGCATAAATGTAATGTAAATGTACATTTGATAAATAATCCTTAACAAAACATTAACTAACTCCCTTCTGTTCCAGTGTGCAATAACATGGCAGCTGGAGGAATAAAGGAGAGTCCGTTCCTGTGTTTGGATCTGACCTACATCTCGGTACTTCTTCAGGAGCTTGACTTCCCTCCTGATAAAGAGCTGAAGGTGTGCTACTCTTGATTTAAAGGACTGTGAAATAGTTACTTCGCTGTGACATTTGGACACAGATTGCAACATGTTAACTGCAGCAGTATGGGATTTATCTGTAATATTTTGAAGAACAATGGTGATGCTGTGATTTTTGTTTAACCCTATCGTTCTGTTTAAATTTCAGCTGGCAAGACAAATAAATAACGTGGAGACTAGCTGGGCCCTCGGTGCCACTTTCCATTGCATAGAGTCACTCCGTAAGCATGGGGCGTGCTGAAAACATAGACACTCACAATGTTTGTACCCAGTAAAGCACTGACTGATTTTAATGCTTTAGGAAAAATATCAACATTGATTGTATTTGCCATTTTGTCATTGAATTTATTCACAATGTGAGTTTTTATACATACCTCTGACTTTCTGAATGTTTCCATTTTCCTACTAGTATGTTAAGCTATGAGTGAAGGTACAAGGTTTGCATGTTTACAGCATGTCAGAATTGTTTTAGTCAGGGTTAATTATATAAAACTGATCAAAAACACTTGATTGCCTCAAGCTCAAAGTTCATGTTATTTCATTTTTATTTTATATTTAATTATTCTCTAGCTTCTAGTTTGATTTAATATATTACCCAGTATGTTCAAATAAATCATGTACTTAGTATTATACTGTATATTATCTGCTCTCAGATGGAAGAAAAACAGACCAGAACTGTTACTGTCATGTCCATGTACTTTTCTTTTGTAGTTATAAACTAAATGTGCCTATCATTAAACATAGCAAATATGTTTATATAAAATGCCATATAAATATAATCTAAAAAAAAAAAAAAAAGTTGAAAACTGCTCTGTGTGAAGTATTTAAAAGTGCGATTGCACACAAAGTTCACAAGAAGGTCATAAAGTGAGACAGCAGGATGTGGTCTGCCTTTTGTCCCATCACATCTTTCACCTGTTCAGACATGCTGCTGTTCTTTCTTGGTACCAGCAGGTGTCACAACACTAAAGCCTGCAGGGGGTTGGGCAGCCCAAATGTCACAATTTATTACTCATTGTTACTCATCATAGGATGTTGTATTGAGGTTTTTAGAAAGTGCAGTTCATTTCCAAATCCGTATCGCATTTACACAATATGTTTGATTTTCCTTGTCCTTGTCTGTGGACCTGAACTAACAAACCTAAGAGGCAAATGGTGGTATTTCATCTTGGCAGTTGAAGCTGTTGTATATTGAAAACAGTATGAAAACACCTTAGACCACAACAATTCCTCTCTAAACCCCATAAAATTATTATTCCGTCCAGCCTTATTCCTCCCTGGTCTTCAGGATCAGGTTTTCTAAGCAATATCCCTGTCAATAGTTTGTTTAAAAGACAGCAGAGTCGAGCAGCAAGCTTGTATATATTTATTTATTTTATTGGCACCCATCAAGACAGACATAACATAAAAGTGACATTTAAATGTTTAAAAATAGATTTAAATCAAGAATGGTTTGTCACTGCATGTCAGCTACTCACATACATACAAACAGTATTCAGTCTTCACTTCTAAATCAGACTCCTCCCACTTTTAAAAGTTTTCCATTGGTTGCTTGTAAATCAATCAGGAATTGTAGCTATCAATAAAAAGCCTGTGTAACTATAACAATGTAAACTGAGCTCTTATGAAACGTAAGGAAATGGGCAAGCCTTTACAAGTCATCTTTACTAGAGCTGAAAGAGGCGATGCTAAAATGTTATATAGGCCTAATAGTTGCTGGCCAAAGCTGTTTATACAGTAAAACGGCAATTCTGAATATCAGTCATTCTTGAGACGTGGGACAAAACAGGTCCAGCCAGGGTAACTGCAATTAGCTTTAAAAAATATATATTTTCAATTTTAAATGTCATGAGGGATTAATAATAGAATGTATTTAACACAATTATCACCTTCAATTTAATTTTCTTATTATTATACCAAATCTGTGTTTCTTAATGTCCTCTCACTACGTCTAAAACAGTTTGTCCACAGAGAAGGGTTCCATCATTCATATGCAATAAAATGGATAAAAAGGTTTTGTTAATGACGAAAAAGAGCTTGTTTTATCAAAAGCAACACTTAATAATATCTCCTATTAAAGCAAGGTTGTTTTTTTAATGACACATGCATGTTTCATAAGATTTTAAAGTTGCGTCCCCACTTTTTGTCAACACCGTCAGACATTCAATAAAATGTAATAAAATCAGGGAATATCAGGAGCAGCTGTCACTCTAAAGGACCCCCTTGCCACAGCTAACCTCTGCAGAGTACATCAGTGTCAGACAGGCTCTGCTAAGTTTTAGAATATTTTAAATCCTAATGTTAATATTTCCTTTGTCACAGCCATGATATGTCAACACCATCTTCCAATTTCTGAGGAAATTATTTGAAATATTTTGATAATTTTATTCTCCTGAAGCAGGTTCCATTAGCAACTAGTATCAACAGAAAAAAATTAAATGGTTACTACATGAACTACATTTTGGTTTTGTGAAAGAAATGCCAAATTTGTGAACACCGTCAGATGTCACCACCATAAGATTTTGTGTTCCAATGATACATCAAAATACTTAAATGGGACTCTTAAAATAAAAGCTTTATAAACAATAACATACTCACTGTTTGTTGTTTGTTTTAATACAGTAATTGACTGAATCGATGTATGAGATAGTTAAAATTATTACAAATTCAGGTTTTCGTCACCACTGTCAGATGTGTCAACTCCGTCAGTTGAATATTTTGATAATATTTAATTATGATATTTTATATTTGTCGTGGAATTGTTGGTCACATGTGAAAGTGTAATCTGTCTGCTAACACCAGAATGTTTTTTGAATTGTTAAAAACATCTTGAATGCTGTTAAAGATAAAGCTGAAATTATATTATACAGTCCAAGGTAAAAAAAGCACATTTAGTTAAAAAAGAGAAAAGTTGGGAGGTTGTATCAAAGCATTGCTCAGTAGCTTAGTACATATAAGATACATAAATGTAGTTTAATTTGAATGAGTACAAGGTTTTATTTTTTCAATTTTGCACCCTGTTTTGTCCCACTTCTCAAGAATGACTTGCTAGTTAGCGTTGCTGAGCTGATTGACATCTCACGCAGCCAATGACAATGCAATTACGAAAGCGTCACTGGCCAATAAACAGACATTCTATAAAGCCCCGCCCACTTTCTTCTCCAGTTGACATAGGGGTGTGTCTCAAAGAGAACAGTGCGTGTAAAATCCTTGCACACCGCACCAACCTGGGCACAGCAAGTCAAGGGGTCCAAACTTTCATTCTTTGCTTTTTAAACGTGTTGTCAACATGTCCAAGCCTCTGACCGACCATGAAAAGCGCAAGCAGATCAGTGTTCGTGATATAGCTGGGCTGGGGGATGTTGCCGAAATAAAAAAAAGCTTCAACAGGCATCTTCACTTCACCCTAGTGAAGGACCGCAATGTGGCCACCCCGCGGGATTATTACTTCGCGTTGGCGCACACGGTGCGGGATCATCTGGTGGGCCGCTGGATCCGCACTCAGCAGTATTACTACGAGAAAGACCCGAAGGTACGGATCTCTTCTTCCTCTTCCTCCTCTTCCCTGTGCAGGCAGCCAGGAAGTGGCATGTTTGTGCAGTAGTGGGATACATAAAAATGCATGTAAATTAATTATTGCCTGTTTTTACATTAGTATATACATTCGTAACTGCATAGTAGGCATAAATGCGTATTTGAATAAATGAATAATAGTTTGATTCATAAACCATCATATTCATAGTGCATTGTAAATTGAATATTCATATTGAATTTAACCTGGACATTGATTTGTTTTCTCAGCTTTGTGTTCTTTGCATTGACATCCATTTGGTCATCCTTTAACATGGGGTCAGCTGTTAGTTTGTGCTTCCTGTTCAAAGTGTGATCTGTTCCTTGTCACATTAGGCCATCATTAGTAACTGTCTGAGCATTTTGCAACCACTTGATGTTGTGTGCTCTCAAGTACAGGTTACACTATACTGTCAAACCCAGTAGAAGGTAATAGGCCTTATCTAATGCACTGACATGGTCCATGTGCAGAATCACTCGTGGCTATTAATAGACACCTGTGACCTGGGAGCTTTATTATGATTTGGGAGGTAATGATGGGTTTTTTGGAGAGTAACAAGTTGAAAGTGGTTTTTCTTCCGGCCTTTTGTGGTTTCAGCAATGTGGCTTGCACTATATATTTATGTTTCTGTGAAACTTGATGTTACTTGTTAGTTGATAAACATGAAATATAGCCATGTATTTTGAGTTAAAGCAGCATTACATGCAAACGTTCTATACTTTATGCCTTTTGGCATTTTATTAATTTATTATTTAACACTTGTTTTATTAAGTGCACTAGAATGGTCCTGTTCTGGGCGCTAGCCAAAATTCAGAGAGTTGTACTGCTTTCCAGAGATTTGTGTGCTTTATTTGAGCAGTCCTTTGAACCAGTAAAATACCCGTTTTTTTTCCTCCTATCTAGATATCTCTAAATGGAACCAGATAGCTTTATATGGTTGAGCACAGCACACCAATACGTGAAGTGTTTCCAGGAACTTCACTCTTGTCAAGCATTAAGCTTGCTGAAGTTCAGACCCTTGGAAAAACAGTGAAACACTGTGTCACTTTATTTAAACATACAGTATGCTGTCATTAAGCACCGTCTCGGCACATGAAAGTGACGCAAGCATTTATTTATTACTGTGGTATTCAAATGTTGTTCACTGTGGATTTGAGGCCTTCAGCAGGCTGTGAACTCCTCCCTTTGCAGACATCTGATGAATGGACTCTTATGAAAATTTGATCCCAAGCCAAAGACATCAAATTAAGCATATTGCACTTGAGCAGCCTGGAAGAGACCTGACCAGAGCATGAGTTTGACTTTGTTAAGAGGGAGAGTATGTTAATGTGTCATTTTATTCATTTGTGATTGAATTACAAACAATTCTATTGATATTTCTGAACTGTAACAATCAGTTTTAGAGCTCAGCATTTTGCTCTCCTGTTTTGCTTTGAAAATATACTCTAGAAAAAAACAACAATATATTGGTAGACCATTACTTTTCTTTCCAGTTCACATAGTGATTAATTGTAATGTTAGAAGGGCAAATTTTCCAGACTGCATCTTCTAATCTTTGTACCTTGTATTGTCATACTTGTTATGCAGTTTTTTACCTACATCATCTGCTTCAGATGTAGATTCTCTGTAGACATGAATGCTCATGCAGTCAGATTTATCTGTGTGTTTTCTGTTGCAGCGCATCCACTATCTCTCTCTAGAGTTCTACATGGGCAGAACTCTACAGAACACCATGATAAATCTTGGGCTGCAGAATGCCTGTGATGAGGCCATCTACCAGGTAAAGTGCATCACTATGACTTGGCAAACTTAATATTTTAGTAGAGCGTTTGTTATTTAATTGCAGAACTGGCCCACAGCTCTATTACTTAAACATCCTGATACTTTAGAAACAGCTGTTGTTTTTTCCCCTGCTCACCCACAGAGAGCTCATTGGGGATGTAGACCAATTGCTACAGGCTTGCAAAACTGTCTAAACCCTTCCTTTACTAAATGTGAAAACACAGAAGTTGCTGAAACTTTAAATTGTACGAAGTTTACATAATAATTTTAAATTGTTGCCCAATGGAACTTGTGTTGTGTAAGTTTGATTGCATCATATAATTGCTGTTAATATTGTTCATCGTCTGTTTTATTACGTCTTAAATTGATTTTTCCGTACTGCTGGTTCGTCTGGTCAGAGGAGAACTGGCCCCCCGACTGAGCCTGGTTTCTCCCAAGGTTTTTTCTCCATTCTGTCACCGATGGAGTTTTGGTTCCTTGCCGCTGGCGCTTCTGGCTTGCTTAGTTGGGGACACTTCATTTCCAGCGATATCGTTGACATGATTGCAAAGATATTATTTAAACTGAGCTGGATGTTGACATCACTGAATTCAATGATGAACTGTCTTTAACTGAAAAATGAGTGTTTACTATTGTCATTTTGCATTATTGTCACTATTTTCCTAATTAATGCTGTTCAGTTGCTTTGACACAATCTGTATTGTTAAAAGCGCTATATAAATAAAGGTGACTTGACTATATGTTTTTATAATGAGATGCTTTTTTTTATATATATATAAAATGCACACAATGGTGCTGATCTTCAGCTTGGACTAGATTTGGAAGAGCTGGAGGAGATTGAGGAGGATGCAGGATTGGGAAACGGAGGGCTTGGACGTCTTGCAGGTACCAAACTTTAAACAAAAAAAACAAACAAAATAAAATACACTTGTGGTAGAGTATTACCTGATCATAATGGGCATTCGCCTTCTCCTTCAGCTTGTTTTTTGGACTCCATGGCATCTCTGGGTTTGGCGGCATATGGATATGGCATTCGTTATGAGTTTGGCATCTTCAATCAGAAGATCACTAAAGGCTGGCAGGTAAACCAAAACTGAAAAATACATTCATACACAAATATACATTTACCTTAGCCTTTTATTGAGTTAGTTGGACAAAAAGCCTCAATGTTTTGTTTTTAATATCAAAACCATTTACTTATGGCACAACTCTGTTTATTAGGTGGAGGAAGCTGATGATTGGCTGCGTTATGGTAACCCTTGGGAGAAGGCCCGTCCAGAGTACATGCTGCCTGTGCATTTTTATGGCCGAGTGGCACATACACCTGAGGGACCAAAGTGGGTTGACACCCAGGTCTGTCAGTCATGATCTAGTCATTGCTCTCAATTAATTGCTGAAACTATTCTGTTCTGATAGAATAGCAGGAGAAAAAAAACAGCTAAATTAAAATAATAATATGCAATCCCATAAACTGTGTTAGTTTTTTTTGTTAGTTAACTGTTAGATTTATTTGAATGCTTTAGGAAAAAAGTCTCTTATGCTTACCAAGGCTACATTTATTTAATCAATATACTGTAAAAATGGTAATGTTGTGTTTTTTAATATTTATGAAAATTGTGATTTTTTTTTGGGATTATTTTATGAATATGTAATTCAAAAGGGCAGCATTTTATTAAAAATAGATATATTTGGTAACATGATAAATGTCTTTTAATGTCACTTTTGTTCAATTTAATGTATCCCTGCTTAATAAACATATTAATAAAAAAAAAAATCACACTAACCCCAAACATGTGGATGGTAGTGTAATCTTGGATCGTTAGGTTGGCAAAAGCAATGCGCTTATACATTTCTAAAAGATAAAAGAGAAGGGAAAGACGGACCGAAACCTGGCAGAGAACATTTCCAGGGTGCTCTACCCCAATGACAATGTAAGTACAAATGCCTCTCAATACTGTAAAACTCTTAGTGAGATGTGTGTGTGTGCCAGATGGAGTGAATGTGCAGAGAGGGAGAACCGAGAGCAAGAATTTGTGAGATACGATATGTGTATTAGTTACCAAAACATAATTTGTGTATATTTAAACTATGTAGATGCTGGTATGCAACATATGCTTTAGCGGCCTGGCACAAGCAGACTGAAAGCTCTTATCTTGTGCAACAGTACCACAGATATGTGTAATGCAATGAGGAAGTATGAAACCGTAATATGAACTCCTGAGCAACAGTTGGCTTATGCCATGATACACTAGGGTTATATAGCTATTGTTCACACAGCTACTGAACTATACATCCAGAAAACACAATGCTTGGTTATTCTATCAGAACAAAATGACAGAAAATGAAATATTTTGCTATTTGTAAAGCTCACAGTGTGTGTACAGTGGGTACGGAAAGTATTCAGACCCCCTTAAATTTTTCACTCTTTGTTATATTGCAGCCATTTGCTAAAATCATTTAAGTTAATTTTTTTCCTCATTAATGTACACACAGCACCCCATATTGACAGAAAAACACAGAATTGTTGACATTTTTGCAGATTTATTAAAAAAGAAAAACTGAAATATCACATGGAGTCGCACGGATTCACTCGGACATTGTCAAAACCACTGTGTGAGTAAGAGTGCACAGTTGTTATACAAAAATATTTGATAATAGCAGAATTAATCATTTCCAGGAAGCCATGATTTTTTATTTTTTTTTATAATGTCTGTTTCAATTTTATTTTCGTGTAGAGATACTAGTTTAGGTCAATTATATATTGACAGTTTTTTCCCCCCATTGATATTGCTTAGATATTAGACAATTTAGAACTCGGAGACGTTTTTATTTTTTGTGGTTTAAGGTTTAAGGACTTTTGTGACATTGAGCCAGAGAAGTTTCAGAACAAGACAAACGGCATCACACCTCGTCGCTGGCTGCTGCTCTGCAACCCCGGCCTGGCTGACATCATCGCTGAGGTGACCTTCTTAACGAAGTAACTCTTTCTTGCTCTTCCCCCACAGGTTTTTTTTCTGTCTCTCACCGTCTTGTGCTTGTTTTCCTTTCAGAAAATTGGTGAGGACTTCCTGACAGATCTTTTCCAGCTAAAAAAACTGTTGGACTTTGTCAGTGATGAAATGTTCATTCGGGATGTGGCCAAAGTGAAACAGGTCTACATTTATGTTGTTGTGTTCTATGATTTTTGGTATTTATTTATTATGATTTTTTTTGTTTTCTTGTTTATGACTTATTTGTTTATTCGTTTTTAGGAGAATAAGCTGAAGTTTGCAGCATATCTGGAGAGTGAGTACAAAGTAAAGATAAATCCTGAGTCCATCTTCGACATCCAGGTCAAAAGAATCCATGAGTACAAGAGACAACTGCTCAACTGCCTGCATGTCATCACTTTATATAACAGTAAGAATTACACACAGAAATGTGTTCACACTGGGTTGTGCCAAGTTGATCAGGACAGAGGAACTGACCAAATATATAGCACTTTTATTAATATTGGTTTGTCTTTTAATGGTGCAGTTTTTTTTTTGTTTTTTTAAATTCAGTTGGAAATATAAATGTCTCTTCAATAGCTGTTTTCTTGTTTTGTAGAGTTGTATTGAAATTATTCTATAAAATAGTATAGAAAATAAAACCTTTTTTGTTGTTGTTTATCAGAATTATGTAGGAGTTTCCTTTTTAAATAACTGAGTAATTGGTGAGTGATTTTATAAATAATTTAAAAAAAAAAATGTCATTTGACACTTTTTAGGGATTAGGAAAGAACCAAACAAGAAGTTTGTTCCAAGGACCGTAATGATTGGAGGAAAGGTACGTGTATTCAGTTTAATTCAATTAAAAAATTACTTCCTAATTATTATTATAATCATTTAAAATTACTATTATTTAGATATGTAGCGAATGGTCATAACTGTATTTGACAAAAGCTGGAGTTCTCAAACCACTAGAGGACCTCAGCAAACTTCTAAAGGGTCTACAGGTCGACTTAAAGGATTAGTTCACCCAAAAATGAAAATTCTGTCATTAATTACTCACCCTCGTATCGTTCCACACCCCTAAGACCTTCGTTCATTTTCAGAACACAAATTAAGATATTTTAGATCAAATCCGATGGCTCAGAGAGGCCTCCATTGACAGCAACGCCATCCAAACTCAGGATCCATAAAGATACTAAAGATGTCGTTAAAACAGTCGACGTGACTACAGTGGTTCTACAATAATTTTATGAAGCGATGAGAATTTTTGTGCGCAAAAACAAAACAAAAAATAGTAACTTTATTCAACAACCTCTTCTCTTCTGTGTCATTTTCATACGTTGTTTACGTCCAGCGCTTCCAGGTTCTACGTCAGAACGCCGGCTCATTATTGGACTGCTCCTGCATCAGCATCACACGTATGTCGCGCTGCTCACGTGCAGCTTTGGTCAATAATGAGCCTGCGTTTGGATGTAGAACACAGAAGCCTTCACCGTGCTTACTGTGTTAACCGCGTAAGGATAATGACAGGGAAGAGAAGAGATTGCTGAATAAAGTTACTGTTTTTGCACACAAAAAGTATTCTCGTCGCTTCATAAAATTATTGCAGTACCACTGTAGTCACGTCGACTGTTTTAACAACGTCTTTAGTACCTTTATGAATCTTGAGAGTTTGGGTGGCGTTGCTGTCAATGGAGGCCTCTCTGAGCCATCGGATTTGATCAAAAATATCTTAATTTGTGTTCTGAAGATGAACGAAGGTCTTAGGGGTGTGGAACGATACAAGGGTGAGTAATTAATGACAGAATTTTCATTTTTGGGTGAACTAACCCTTTGAAATGATCAAACTTAGTCAAACTTAACTGAAAATGCTTAAAAAAACAAACAGATTTTTCCGCCCTCAGCAACAATTGTTTTATTAAAGAACGTACTATTTCTGAAACGTCTGGAATCATGGAATACTTTTTTCTTGTACTTTCTGTTGGAGTTTGAAAACTAGCTGCTTTTTCATATGAGGGGCCTTTGAATATTGTGCTTGACAATGGGAGGCCTTCAAGTCAAAAAGGTTGAGAGCCACTGCTGTAAGAGTCCTAAATTTCTAAAAGGTGTTTTTGTGTTGTCCTGAACTGCCTCCTGCAGGCAGCACCAGGCTATCACATGGCAAAGATGATCATTAAACTGTTCACCTCAGTGGGGGAGGTGGTGAATCATGATCCTGTGGTGGGAGACCGACTCAAGGTCATTTTCCTGGAGAACTATAAGGTCTCATTAGCTGAGAAGGGTGAGTAAATTAATAAACAATTGTTGATGTATAGCCAGAAAAGATCAGATCAGATGAGATGTATTATGTTTTGTCATGCAATAATTAAACTAATAAATATTTTTGCTATAGATGCATTATATTTAGTTTTTTTTTTTTTTTTTTAATGTTACAAATTATGTGCCGAGTATGTGATTGAATGTGTCATATGCTTTGCTCCTCAGTGATCCCTGCTGCCGACCTGTCCGAGCAAATCTCCACGGCAGGTACAGAAGCCTCCGGTACAGGGAACATGAAGTTCATGCTTAACGGCGCTCTGACCATCGGCACCATGGATGGTGCTAATGTGGAGATGGCAGAAGAAGCTGGAGAAGAAAACCTGTTCATCTTTGGCATGAGGGTGGAGGATGTGGAGGCCATGGACAAAAAGGGGTGAGAAAGAGTGAATGGATAGAAATGGGATAAGATGGAAAACAAGGAAGCTTTAGGCTGGAGGACTGATGTAATCAAACAATGAAAGAAAAACATTTTAATTAATTCTGATTTAATTCTCTGGTTGTGAAATTTTGTTGAGGTATTTTTGAGTAATTTATTTGTGAACATTCTAAGCTAAAATTAGTAATTGCTCCTTTTGTCTATTCTATTTTGCTTTATTTCAGCCTTATTTCAATTACCAAAAGCTATTTTAATGGTTTTATTTTTAGTCTGCAATAACAACACTGTGTTTGTGATCTAGATACAATGCCAGGGAATACTACGAGCGTCTGCCTGAACTGAAGCAGGTGATGGATCAGATCAGCACTGGATTCTTCAGCCCCAAAGAGCCTGAACTCTTTAAAGACGTTGTCAACATGCTCATGAATAATGACAGGTGAGTGTTTAAGAGTTCACCTCCCTTTTTAAAAAAAAAGTTAGCATTTTCTTGTGTGGCTTATACAGGTATATCTAATTTTTGTTTATATGTAAGGGAAACTTGCTATGGTTTTATTTTTAAATTTTACCCTAATATATTGACATCTATAGAATTCATAGCTATTTTATGTAACAATTCTCAGACTTATTTATGCTTTAGTAAGAGGTGCCTGACTTCTGTTTTTCTCTCTCAGATTCAAGGTGTTTGCAGACTATGAAGCATATATCAGCTGTCAAGAAAAAGTTAATGAACTCTACAGGGTGAGTAGAGATGTTTGGATATTTACTGATGGTTTCAACAATGTGGGCTTTTCAGTTGCTGAGCCCAGTGTCAATAGTAATATTTGATCATTGAAAAGGCTATAATATATCATTAAAAATATTGTCTATATAGATTGAACATTTTCCATTTTTAATGATACAGTGGTGTGAAAGTGTTGGCCCCCTTCCTGATTTCTTTTTTTTTTTTTGCATGTTTGTCACACTTTAATGTTTCAGATCATCAAACAAATTTAAATATTACACAAAGATAATGCAAGTAAATACAAAATGCAGTTTTTAAATTATGATTTCATTTATTAAGGGGAAAAAGCTGTCCAAACCTACATGGCCCTACATGAAAAATTAATTGCCCCCTCCTGTTAAATCATGAAAGAACTGCAATTATTAACCACATTATTTTAGAAAGCGGAGTTAAATTTCACTAGCCACACCCAGGCCTGATTACTGCCAGACCTGTTGAATCAAGAAATCACTTAAATAGAACCTGTCTGACAAAGTGAAGCATGCTTAAAGAGCAACACATCATGCCG